CACAAATTGACCAGATTGGCGGTTCTAGTGTTAAATAAACTCACTAATCAATGAAACCAGTTCAATACACATTATTCGTATTCTTATCATTCTTTATGAGCGCAGAAATAGTCTTAAAATCAGACCTGTTTTTTAAATGAAATCTGATGGCAAGCAGTTAGCTCTGATCACCTATGATAAATGCGCCACACCTAATCGCTGGCCATTCAGCCACAGAGCTCCCTCTATACAAATCAAACTGTAGATGGTGTGAAAGCACCTATTGTTTTAAATAATGGTCGGAATGTGACCTGTGAGCCTTCTGAATTACCGTGGGACAGCACATTCTAAACTAAAATGTTCAATCAATAAAATAACATCTTATCTTATCTTAATAATATCTTCATATTAATAATAATAATAATAATAAATCATACAGTATGTGTCCGAAGCAAACACAAAAATATACAAAAAATATACTGCATATTAAAGCAAACGATTGTAAAGGTAAAAGTATGAGCATAACAAATAAAGAAGTGTAATGTAAACATTCCTCGATACTGGTCTTAGGCAGGTCGTAGGCAGGAAGCTGTAAACTGGAGTCGGAAATGAAGTGCTACATCTGTAAGAGATTAGGATGGATCCTGTTGAAGAATGTACGACATGCCTCTATTCACATGAAATAAATAATCTAATGTACCCCTTGAGCACTAGGTAGATTAAACAAAACTATAGCATGTAGTTTAAACAAAACATTAATGTGGCTTTACAAATGAAATATACTGAGCATATTAAAAGCCTAAAATGAACATAAAAAAGTCATTTTGGTTAAAGATAGGGTAAATGAATATACTTAATATTAAAGGAAATGTTCAAATGAACTTAACAATTTCATGTTTCTTTGACATAACACAGTTGTGTGTCTTTAACATAATGGAATAGTTTTGAGTACACATGTTTTTAATATGTGCAACCGATGTCCATATTAAAATCATGTGAATCCAACAGCCTTTTTTTTCAGTGCAGGGGGGTCTGGGGTAGGGTGACCAGACGTCCCCGTTTTCCGGGGACAGTCTCCGTTTGTATTGGCCTGTCCCAGGTTGAAACTGTCCCCGGAAATGTCCCCGTTTTTTAATATACGTTAAAAACACATAGCAAGATGAAATAAAACGTTTCATGTCAGGAAACACTGGGTAAACACTACAGACTGTGGTCAAGCCAGCCCCCACTTCGGAAAACTCAGTCAAGCCAGCCCGCACGTTGTATTGCTATGCATTACGGTTGAGGCCTGTAAAAACTGCCTTCAAAATAAAAGCGTTTACTCGGTCAATAACAAATATACCTAAAAAACACACTAAACATATTCATATATACTGTAGCTTATATTAAGAAATATGTCCTATATAATGTGATCAATAATAATTTAAAACAAACTACGTATAACAACCACATTATAACTGAGTGAATGTAAAATGTATGGATACAGTTATGAAGACATATCTTACATTTCCACTGGGTGACTCATTTCAATTGATGTTGACACCATCTCACAACACTCCTAAAATAACATTCCTTTCTGAAGCACAATTTAAAATGTATGCTGTTTAAAATCTCAAATTAGATCTATTGTTCATCTATATTTTGATTATTATTTAATGGAAACTGTCCATAATCAAAGACTCATTCGAAGTCAATCAAATACTAATTTCACTTCAGGGTGATAGCAATCATCAAACCGTGGGGTCTTATTTAATTACGTGTTGATTTCTATCAACACGTAATGTTGTATCGATGTATATAGAGATGTACTACAGCAAAAGTATTCTCCGTCGGGACTTCCTGCAACAACACCACGCCGTTATCTTGATTGGCCAGAAGACATTATCAAAGATGTTCTATTGAGAAGACGATCACTACGTGACAAACGTTTTCAAACCCGTTTCAAGTCTTCGGTATTTCCAGACAAGTGGCTACTGAAATCAATCTTACTAACTGCTGTCTGTGCAATTTACTCCGTGCTAGTTGGTGGACTTTATTTTGCTTACTTTAACATCATTTTTCATGGTGGGGCTAAGCCATTTCTTGGTATGGCTTTAGCCTACCCCAGCCATACCCTGGCGCCGCCACTGGCTATTGGGATAACAAAATATGTCCAATAAGATTTATACACCTGATACTCAGGTGCTCAACACCTCTTCCATCCTATTTCCTGTAACCCTGTTTGTCTTTATGAGCACATTTTGCCGGGACGACACACCGATGCTGCCGTGGCATGGATTGTGTTTTGTGTGTTTGAGTGAGAGGTGATTGAATCTTATCTGCGTTGCTTTTGACCTCTAGGTGGAGCCTGCTCACTGTCCTTATGACACTGTTATCACATTGTTACAGGTTCACTGTAATACATATAAAATAAATGTCAATATAAAAACAGACAGTGTGCAGGTTACATTGATATCTTGTGCCCGTCAGACATTAATTTGGTAGAATAGTTCCTGCCCAAGGGTAATAATGACTTTGTAACAGGATAACTGTCATTGACAGAACCGTGTTTAAAAACCGTACTATAGTTTTTCGTACGAAATAGTAGTATTAAACTCCATTCCCTCTTAGCAAGAGTGAATAGTCTGTCGCCAAATGAACCTGTACTGAAATCCTAAGTATTGTCCCTTTAAATAACTATAGAATGACTATATGTTTCACTCTATTTAATAATACAATAACGGTGCACGACAAATACGCTTGGGTCACATGATCACAATTGACTTTCTTTCCTGACACTGAATTAATTATTCTGTATTTTTGAGAGGCATTCTTCTTTGAAAGAAGATACAACAAATGTGTTACCTAATTAGTGTTATTACTTTAAAAAAAAAAGAAGATTATAATCTTCATCATCATTGTTAAGTGCCAGGCAAGCTGTGTTTTGTTCTGTTTTTCCCTCCTCCTGCTCTTTTCTATGTAATCAACAGCTGATCAGTACCTGTCTGCACCTCATACTGGCTGCTGATTGGATTCCCTCACCCCAGCTGACCTATCAGCAGCCAGAGCTAGTCATAATGGAGGCAATCCAGGAAGCCTTCTCTCTCTTTGAGCTGGGCCTGCTGCTGACTCCAGAGCCTCTCTGAACTTTGTTAGAGTTGTTGAATCTTCCGTGAATCTTGGTAGATTTGGGGATTCCTTGGTGAATCTATATGGTTTATGATTATTACATTTGTGTGTGTTGGGAGGTTGAGGATTTAGGTACGTGTTGGGTCCCCTCTACAGTTTAAAAAGTAGGTAAATCTTTGTTAGACACACTAGATTATTAGATTGTTGCCACCCCTGTAATGGTTTTGTTCTCTTTGCTAGTAGATCAGATAGTGAGGGACGTTTGTTAGATTTTTCAAAGGATAGATTTAGATATAAGCCATGTTGTGTTAAAAATTAAATCATTTATGGAGGCAGACAACTCAATAATCCTAACCTTAACCAAAAGGTAATTAGAGAACCAATTATAGAAATACGGGGGGAGGGGGGAACAGAACATTAGCAGTTACATAAGAAAGTCAGATGATTATTGCTAAATTGAGCAGTCTAATCTGAACAGGAACATTTGGAGGAGGGATTTGAATGTTGTGATGGTAAGGAGGAGTTCCAAAGATTCGGAGGCAGCAGAAGGGGATGTACTCTTTTGTATTTGATCTGGTATTTAATATATACTCAGAAGGGTATCTTTATGAATGAACGCCTTCAGCAAAAAAGTTTATGTGAGTACTATTCATCTCTTCTGAGGCGCTCGCACTGAAAAAATTAAACATTGACTTTAATTAAATGTATTATGTCAACAGGTTCTACATAACTGTATTAGGTTAGTTGAAAGCAATACTATTAAGTTGAACCTAATATTTTTTATTTACACTTAATACTACTTTTTTCAATTTACCTAATACAAATGTGTGAAATAAATTGACATAATAAATTAAATTAAAGTCAACCTTTCAGTTTTTTCATTGAAGACTGAGATAAAACAGATAATGGGTTTAAGACAAATTACAGCAGGGTTCAATTTATATATACAGTCTATGGGTTCAATATACAATGCTTATTTACTTATTTGTGGAATTTTAAAAACCTTGTCATTTACCAGTAAAGACAAAACATTTAAAAGTTGTATTTTAATTCTAATCGGCCACCTTTTGCTTAACAGTGTTGACATGAAGTCATAGTTTGTTAAATTGTAGCCTAACTAGCTTTTTACTTCTGGTCATTTACGCTTCAAAAAATTATACAAATAGTGTTAATATGCAGATATTCTTCTTCTGACCAAAACGTGCAAGTATCATATGGGTTTGTTTGCCGCAGAGATTATCTCTGCAATAATCCAAAATCCAATGTGAAAATCCTATTGCTTTTTGTCAAGGGCCCCAGTAAGACGCTAACTTCCGGATCAGCTCACAAAAACATGTTTTAACTGCACCTATCTGTAGCTCCTAAATGTTTCCACAAACATTATTTTTGAAAAAATACATGATAAGACTGGATTTGGGCAGATTCTTCTCCTTTATTGGGACACAGTTGAGGTAGAAAACACGGTTAACATAGATGGGAAGCTACTAAAAAACGTCCAAACACAGAATAGAATACATACAAAAAACATCTGAATATTATGTATGTTAACGGCGTACATTGATTTTGGTATAGCAACCCAGCATTTATCTCCAAATGGTTAACAGTGAGCTATGAAGACATTTGGTGTGCCAATGACTGGTATAACAAAATGTGTCTTTATCTTTCGACCAATTCAAAGTATTTAAGATATTTCAAACTATAGATTAAGTTTACATATACAATTATAATAACTGATATAGGCAAACTTTGACAATATTTTCAGAAGTCAATCAGATAGGAATGTGCAGGCCCGTAAGAACCGCTCCAATTAGTATATAAATGCATCTGATACAAAAGCTAGGGAAAAGGCCTTAACTTTAGAATCCTGCTTATCAATAATCCCTTTCTCCCTTCCCTTCCCACCTCCTATTTTACGTTAGCATCCCAACCAATCACAGCTGGGCTCTCGGCTGTTGCCACAGCGGCACTTGGGTCCAACTGACGTCATCACCCCTCATCAGAGGACTGTCCGGCCTTTAGGAGAGCAAGAAAGCAGGAGAGAAGGAGTTTTAGTTCATGAGTTGATTACGTGGGCTCAGAGGGCTAATCCAATCTGGATTAGGCCGAGTGGTTTCTCTACAGGGAGGAGGTGAGCTGTTGGCATAAAACTGGACACTGTGACTGCAGGTTTGAATAAGAAATGCTTTTTGATTAAAGCAGAGTGCCTACATCTCTTCTTGTAATCTCTGAAGTAAAGCCCTAAAGGGATATGAATCATAGATTTTAAAACGATTATTAACTAATAAATAAGAATAAAGGCTATGACCCCTGACCTAGAGATCAAACAAAAAAATGAAGAGACCACTGTTTTTTTTATTTAGGAAGGGTTTAGAAGGCAATATTTGGTGGAATAACCCAAATCTACTATTACAGCTTTGTTGTGTGATGCCATGTTCTTCATCAGCCTTTACTGTTGGGTGAAGTTTTGTAACCCAATAGCAATGTGGCACAAAAACCCTGGTGACCATTCATCTTGATGATCATCATGAATGGATGATGAATGTAATAGTGTCTTCACAGATCTCACTAAAAAATCCATTAGAAAGCTGCAGCTGATTCAGAACGCTGCTGCTCGTGTCCTCACAAACACTAAAAGAGTGGATCACATCAGTCCAATTTTGAAGTCTTTACACTGGCTTCCAGTCTACCAAATAATTGATTTTAAAGTACTATTGCTGGTTTTTAAAGCACTGAATGTTTTCGGACCAAATTATATTAACGATCTCCTGCAGAAGTATGAACCATCCAGGAGTCTCAGGTCCTCTGGGACGGGTCTGCTCTCTGTTCCAAGAGTCAGAACTAAATATGGAGAAGCAGCGTTTAGTTTTAGTGTTTTAGTTATTATGCCCCGACAATCTGGAACATACTCTGTGAATCCTGCAGGTCCGCTGCAACTCTTAATACTTTTAAATCAAGACTAAAAACGTATATTTTTGACGCTGCATTTGAGTGAGTTGTTCATATTCACACTGCAGTATGGCTTTTATTCATGTATTTTATACCTGTTGTGTTTATTTTATTATCTTTGCTTTTTAAATGCCTGTTTTTTAAATGCCATTTTATAATTTGCTATACTGTATCTTAAATGTTTTTTATTTTATTTTGTAAAGCACCTTGGGTTGCCGTGTGCTGAAAGGTGCTATATAAATAAACTTGCCTTGCCTTGATGATTGCTGAGGTTTATAATGGACTTCAGGTCAGTCCAATGTCCCTCAACAACTGTACTGACATAGAGTCGTAACAGCAGCTAGGGTGAAGTACATAGTGACGACTCTTTGAAACAGGCTCCTCAGAACAGGGCTGACATCACGAAAGTTAGGGAAGAAAGTACTTCATCAATAAGAAGCGAAGAGTAGCCAGGCTGGGGTTTGCAAAAGCCCAAAGGATTGGAATGTATAAGACTGGAGTAACATCATGTTCTCTGATGATTCAGATTTTCAGCTAATGCCAGCTCTGAGATGAACTGAAGATACCTTCAAGCTACAGTGCCTTGCACACACTGAAAAAGTGGAGGTTAGTTGATGATCTGGGGGTTCTTAAACAAGGCTGGAATTGGGCAGATTATAAAGGCTCATACATGGTTATCATGTTTCCTACTTCTTTGAAAATGTTACGGAACTTTAATGGTGCGTTCACACCAGACGCAATGTGATTTTTGGCGTGGAGCGATTACATGTCAAGTCAATGCAAAGACGTGGATATAGATATTCAGGCGGCGCAAAATCGTGAGTTACATTTTTTCAACTAGAGGGTTTTTGATTTGATTTCTAGCGAGAAGTGTATATTGTACTTTTAGAATCCACGTCCAGTGGATGTGTAGGATCTATAGTTTGATAGATATTACGAAGATTATTTGAGGTCTCGCCAGGAGAACGTGTATATACTCTGTCTTTCCCCTCTTAATTTCTATTGACGGCGGCGTCCATGTAAAGTTGGCGTCAACCCTCACAGGCTGAAAACAGTATTTCCGGTCTCGAAGTTTTCATAATAAAACCGGAAGTATTCCCCTCACTGTCAAATGATTTTACAGTGATATCTGCAGTACTCATCCACTAAAAAACATCAGTTTATCCTTGTTAATTACACAACATTGATTGGTTTAAATGGTGTACAATGCTTTTGTGTTTTTAACCTTCGATTCGGAGAAACAAATAGTTGTTTCGGAGTTTAGGATGGCCGAAGACACTACACTACCCATAATCCTCTATCGTTTGAGACTACAACATCCGCTTTGCTTGAAAAACCCAGTGATTAGTCCTCAAGCTCTGTGATTGGATGTTGGAGTGGCAGTGTGCCAAGGTTACGCCGAGTGTCAAACAGCTCTTTGAAATTGAATGAAATCACGGCAGACTATCCAAAACTGGATTCTAACGGGTTCACCCCCCCAGAACTACACATGCTGGCTATTGTGTTTCGCAACATGTTCTCTATCTATGGCACGTCTCTACTGGGAATTGTAATTTTAAAAGACGTTTTCGTATTTCCCATAATTAGAAGTTGCCAGTATTAAACTGTGTACATCCCTGGAGGTTTAGGGGATGGGAAACAAATTGGTGTTATCAAATTTAAAACATATAATTAATAAATGGGTGAAAATTGCTTGTGTCCATAATGGGCAGCATTAATATATACCCACATGACAGCTAAGGTCAGAAGAGCTTTATTTAACAGCTGGTCTTGTGTCTGTGACCCCTCCTGTTGTCAATTGATAAGCCTGAAACATGCACTTGTCAAGGTTCAGAGGCACATTTTGCAAATATGGCAGTAGCCATCGATCATCTTAAGATAAGATACTTTATTGATCCCAAGTTGGGAAATGTTTTTGTTACAGCAGCATACTACTTTGTTCTACTCCACTACAATTCAGAGGTTAACCTGGTATTTTTACTCCACTATATTTATTTTAGTTACTTTGCAGATTCTGATTAATGATGTGAAATACAAACAACCCTTAAATCAGACTTTAGTTACACCTGAGTCAAATTCAGGGAAGGTGATTGTCAAGTTCCAAAATAAACTAAGCAATATATTAGACTATTATTAAGTACTTTGTCAGACTTAATATGTATCTGTTGATACCCCCAAAGTTTTTTTCTTATTCAAAAGAAGACCTTTACCAAGTATTCTTTAATGTTTAAATAAAGCCTTATTAGTTTGTCTGTTTTGCACATCCTCCTATTACTATTTTTGGACGTCCTGCACTAAACTGTTTTATTGTAGAGATCACTACAGTATCTCCTTGATATTTTCTATTCTATATTTATATCATTGACCTTCTACTTTCCCCCTATTTTGTATGTAGGCTACTCTTAATATTTTTTCATCAAATATAACATATTCAACAAAAAAAATGCAATAACGTGCTTTAACCACTAGGCAGTGCGGGTTAAAAAACTGTCAAGTTTACAGTGTTAACACAACAAAATGATACTTTCCAGTATAAGTTTCCAGTTTAGTTTATGACAGATTTATTTTGTTATCCACACATATATTGTTTTGATATTTGTAACACCAAACCGACAGAAAAGATGGTCGATGACCTAGTGGTCTAGTTCAGGGGTACTCAAATACAAATCTTAAAGGTCCAAAATAAATGTTTCAATAAGACAAAGGTCCGTTTATTACGGTCATTCAAACTTTTAAACAATTGCAACAAGATTCTTAACACGAGGTTGCAAAAACAAAAATAATCTGTATGCAGCAGTTTTCATTGTTATTGTGTCTGTGCTTGACCCCTCAGAGTCGCAGTGTAAGAGCTGCACGGTTATGAATAAAGGCAGCTGCACCCTCTTTCATTCAGCATTCCCATTATTGCTTTATAAATGTATTCCCCCTTGTGCGTCCACTGAGGTTTGTCAGGCCCAACACATCTTCAACAAACTCCCCCTTTGCCTCATCATAAAAACTCACAAACACCAGCAACTGAGCATTGTCAGTGGTGTCAGTGGACTCACCCACAGCTAAGGAAATGCACTGTGCATTTTTTATTCCATCACAAAGCTGATGAATCAAATCACCAGCCAGTATTTATGTTCTTCTGGTTGCTGTGGAATCTGAGAGGGGGATTTGCTTGATTTGACCTGTTATTTCCTCTTTTTGTTTGCCTTCAACATGGTCTCCATCACTTCAGTCATGCATTATTTTATACTGCAGTTATTATCCAGTGGAAAGCCCTTACCTGCTGGCCTAGTTCAATCAAAGTGGTTACTTTTTTTTGGCTGGGCAGTGTAGTTTTAAACACCGTCTTATTTGACTTTCTCAGGACTTAAAACAGTTTTTTGGGGGGCAGACCCCCTCAAAGAAAAAAATATATTTACACACGTAAGGTCATCATCTTAATAGTTTTGTATGCTCATCCGTGAGCAGAGCATCAAGTTGGCATGTCTATTACAGCTGAATGCGGCGATTACCATTTTGTTCAGCAAAACGCCTCACAAACGTATTAAGATCAACAGCTTCAGTGCGTTTTGATTCAATGCTGAGTACAGTCAAACTGACAGTCTCTTCTCTGTCAGTGTAGACCGCAAATACCTCATTCCTTCAGTGCTTGGGTCCGAATGCTTCTCGTTTTGCGCCGTCCAGTTCAAAATGAAATCGCCGCCAAATCGTATGTCCACGCTCGCGCCAGGACCGGGGGAGGGGTTACATGACGTGCATCTTGTGCTGCATTCACTTGCACTCGGACATTAGAGACTTTCTCTCATAAATGTCCGATGTGCCACAACTTTTCTTTCAAAACAAAGCTGCCAACTGGGGTGGTAGCTGGGGTGGCAAGGCCTATTTTTAGGGTGTCAGTTGCCACCCCGGTAGGTGAAATTAGGCTACTAGCTACAGTACAGATGGAACTAGATGAGCTGTTAACTCTCGCTCTGAATTTTTTTTTTTTTTAATTCTCGCTCTGACTTAGACAGGTTGAAAGAGACACACACATTTTTCCCACCCGCATTCCGCGAAGACCCGCCCTACTGTGCCTC